TAGATGGGGTTGTCAGTGCTTGGCAATTGGAGCGCTTAAATCTAATAAATTGTCCGAGCCAACTTCATTAGCAAATGGCCAATGTTTGAGTCGGAGAATGGCGACGTTTGCATTTTCCCCAATTTGTTGATTTATCACTGATGAAAAGCACACACACAAAGCTACAGTAAACACACGCTAACACACACACAAACAGAAATGCAAATGCGAATCTCTCTCTCTGCTTTGACACTCGTTTGTTTACATTTCTTCGTTCTTTTTTAATTTCTTGGCTAAATATTTGAGAGATTTCCCTGGCACGAAAAAAGGGATTAGATGTCACTGTGATGGGTGGTTGGGTTTGATTCCGTTTCCTGGGCTCAGCTGAAGCTATGGCATAGCTAAGTCCTACAACAACAACAATAGCAGCAGCAGCAGCAGCAACAACTGTCAGCATTTTGAGTTGGGTTAAAAGATTTTTGTTCATGCTTCAGCTGAATAAAATTTCTGTTTCAATTCCGAAGCTAAGCCAAAAGCTGAAGTAAAAGTTTCAGCCAAGTCGCTGCAGTCACAGTGAACAGAAAAGAGTTCACAATGTAAACAACAATAGCTTCTGCCATAACAACAACAACAACAACCACAACAAATCAATTTGTAGCCAAGTCAAGTTTCAAGATTAAAGTTCATGGCAAGAGATTTTTCGTCTCAAGCAAAGGGTAATTATCTACATCAATTTGTAGGTTATAAAGCCATACACTCATCTATTGTTATATTCTATCTGATTGTAAGTCATATGTGGTATAAAATTGTCTATGGTATAAGAGATATGTAACAAAGCTGACAACTTTTTGATTCTATCTTCGATACATTTCAAAAATTATGTTTTTTTGTGATTTCGTTTCGCTTTTCCCTCAACTTCAATCACAGCTCGGGTTTGTCCTTTCCTGGACCTCTTCAGTTTCTTTATAAGTAAAAACTAAAGAGGCAATACTATGGGAATACTATGGCTGTGGGATCGTTACTATATGCATATATACTATATATTGTCTGCCAAAAATTGTGTTTCAAATATTTAACAATTTCCGAAAGTTTTCGCAAAAAATTGGCTTTGACCTATTGCACATTGATTAATAAACAATAAACAATCAATCAATATTAGTCTTGGCTCAAATCTGAGTTTGTGGCCGAGGGTTTGCGGTTTCTGATGCTAATCAAATGATGCTATGGCAAATGTCATACAATATGCATAGATGGAGATAGAGAGAGACCGGGAGAGGTAGGAGGCAAGGGATGAAGAGACAGGGTAGTATAACTATCGCTATATTACTGCATCCATACATTTGCCATATAATATGCATATATATTGAATACAAAGACAGACAGAGAGGGAGAGAGAGAGAGAGAGAGAGATAGAGAAACACAAAGAGCAAGACTGTGTGTGAGAGAGAGAGAGAGAAGCTAACTATTTATGGTCACGACTAGCAATAATCAGATGCGAATCAATTACATTTGGCATGGAAGTAATGCGAGTACTTGCACAAAGTGCTTTGCCCACCCTCGCACCGCACCCGCTGTCCAACCAGGAGCTCTGCACTGCCTCGGCCAGGGCCACTGTATGTTGTCCAAATTAGAAGCAGATGATGATGATGTTGATAAGAGCGAAGCGAATCATAAGATGGATATTCATTGAATCGTGCCATTTATTGCATGCCACATGGTTCTCACTCCCTCTCTCGCTCGCTCTCTGTTAGACTGGCCTCAACATTTTGCAACATTCACACTTTTGGGCTGACTTGTCATTGTTGCCCCTCCCCTTCCACCTTCCACTCCCACACTACCACGCCAGCCACTGATATGCCAATAACAATAAAGCACACACCCAGCGGGCGTGCCGCAAACTCCGTCTAAGTGAAACCGGGTAGCCCGGGTAGCTGGAAGCTGTGAGCATAGTTAATCGTTATTTACAGACAGATAAAGTGCAGAAATATTGTCGAGCAGCAGCAGCAGCAGCAGCAGGAGACGAGTCGACAGACATAGCCAACGTTAGCTCATGTATCTCATGCGACCACCAAAATGTCGAACTGCCAACCAAGTAAAAGCAGCAAAGCAGCTCACCAAAAGGCAAAAATAAGAAGGGAAAAAAAAGTAAGACAAACAACCGGAAAAGGTAGACTGGGCATAGCACGCAGCTAGAATACACTTCGAGTGGACGACATCAGCTGTATAATAATAGAAAGAGAGGGCAGAAGAGGGAGGGAAAGGGTCAGAGTTATCTTTGTACAGTTTGTGACTTTAAATCAGTTGTACGAAGAATCTTTTCTAGGAAAACTTTAGACTAGGCAGTCTTGCATATTCAAATTGATAGTATCTAGCATAGCTTGCAAACAAATATATGTATTATGTATATCTTCTCTTCTAAGAGCTGACCTACTCTTTTATAGCACCTGACGCACGTCTAGAAGAGCTTAGAGAGCTAATAGAGCGATAAATTGACTCAGTTTCTTCTTATGTACAATATCTATCTAGCTACCTAGCAAGCTATAGCTGCTTAAACTTTTATCTATCTCTCTCTGAATCTCTCTACACATCTACCATTTACCTATCTGTCTATATCTATATTTTCATCCATCACTCTAGATAGCAGTCCAACCATATCTAAATTGATCTATCTATCCAAAAATTTATTTATGTATATTTACTCATTCATCTATCTCTCTAGCGACCCATCTTGTCATCCATCCATCTCTGCATTTATCCATTCACATATCTATCCGTCTAATCCATATATCTTTTTATCTATCCATCGATCTATATACATAAATATTTATGATTCCTCCATCGATCTATATACCTACATCTACATATATATCTATCTCTATCTGTCTATCAACTTATCCATCTATTCATTTGTCGGTCTATCTTTCGCTCTATATATTCATCAATCTCCTATCTATCTACACATATACTAATACATCTACTGTAACACTCAGACCGCCTCTTCTTGAGAACGTTACATAGTTCATCAAAAATCTCATATTACTCGGCCATGAAAAGCGCATTGAGCAAAGGAATGCGCACACTGGCAAAGTAATCGGATTCCCATGCATGAGCCCAAAAGGCGAAGGCGGTGGTGGTGGCAGTTGGAGCTGCGATAACGAGCTGTATGAAAGGGGGCAGAGCCAACAGACGGGGGAAGAGAGGAAGCAGAGGGCGACAGTAGCTGTAGCTGTAGCTCTGCCATTGCCAATGCCAATGCCAGTGCCATAGCTCGTAAATTTGCGCTTTTGCCAGAACCCGAAAAAAAGTAGCAGAGCATAGAAAATCAGACGAGCTGAGGCGAAAAACCAAATGCCACGCCCACACCCATACACTTAAGGGGGCTGCTGCTGCTGCTGTTGGATTTTTGTCTCCAGCGCTTCCTGTGGCCGGGCGTCAGCAATTTCGTTGCGGAAATCATTGGCCAGGAGCCGGCAGCAGCAGGACTAGCTAGTGATGGCTCTTCAGGCCGCATGCTGTGCCTTTTCACACGATAAACTCCGCTGTTTAACTCGTTGGCCATTTATTTGGGCCAAGCAGCCAAGCAGCAGCCAAAATACTGTAGGCTGTTATCAAATTCAATTACCTAAAGCCGGAAATGCGTTTGCCTCGGCCATAAAACTGACGCCCCAAAAGATGACTCAAGATGTGCCATTTAGATACGAGATTTTTTCCCCCGGCCGGAAAAGGTGTTTGCAATAACAGCGCCAAAAAGAAAGAGACGAAGGCCTAAAGCTGCGATGTCTTAACTAAAAGCAGGAAGCAAAACCCAGCCTAGGGGCTCTACAGTCAGCGAAAAATGGGGGCTATAACTCAACTAGGGTCTGCTGCTGCGTAAGACGAGAGGCGAGGCACAACAACTAGGCCTAGACAGTCAAGAGACTTGGATATATATGAATCTCCATAAAGCTCTAGCACACTTCAGTTAGGTCTCATTGAAAAGAGTTAAGGGAAGAGCTAGTTATAAAAACCCAGACTCTGTCAGCTTCACTCGAAAAGGGCCTTGGGTCAACTAGTTTGAATTAATCAGAAGAGCTACACATTTCTTTTTCTTTAGGTCTTATCTTTTATTTAGATCTAGAATATAGTCTAGAGATAGAGAGAAGAACATGAAAAGGGGATAGTCTCAAGAAAACATTTTAATGGTTTTTGACTTGGGAATCTTAGAACAGATTTTCAGTTCATGGTTCATGGTCAAGCAACAACTAACTAACATTAGAGTCTAAAGTGATCTAGCCCTTAAAAAAAGGGCAACATCTTCACTAGGGTTAGCTACATGGTAACTAAAGAACTAGGCTTAGACAGAAGGTGTTAACAGAGTGAATAACATATCAGTAGAAGGGGATGGCTATCCATACTTACGACTCGACAAACCTTAACTTTGAATATGCCAACAAGTCAACTATTTACAATGAGAAACACGAATCCAGCCTCAAAATTTACAATATGGTAACTAAACAACAACAACAACTAGTTCCAAGTTCAAGAGTCAAATTCAAAACAGAGTTCGTTCCTAGAGTCTCACCCGCTAGCAGAGCTCTAGCCCATTGCTTGGATAATCTAATTTCTGGCTGCGTGTAATTAAAGCTTGTAACTTTTAATTACAATAGCCGAGCTTGCTGGCCAGCGAATGTTGCTTTGCCTGTTGACTGGCTGCTGTTGTGTGGCATGTGCATAGCTTGCCACAGTCAGTGGCTCCAAGCTCTGGTCCGTTGACCACATAAACCACGAGAGCCCAAACGACTCTGGGCAAAAATGCCAACAGCACGATTAATGAGCACAGCTGGGCCAAAAGGGGGGGGCGTGGAATATGGTCAGAATGTCCATGCGAACCAATTTGGCAGGAAATACAAACATTTAATACATATAGCTGAAAGCACTTGCGTCCCTCTCACACCATAGATGAGAATGAGCTGGGAAATTGGTGAGGTCTGGCAACGCTGGCTGACAATTTCGAATAGCTGTGGGCACATATATATACTCACTTTTTGGAACTGCTCCTGCAAACGCAGCAGCGCGCCTTCAATCTCAATCATTCGCCTTTCCAATAACAAATCCTGCAAAAGAACAACAAAAAGAAAGAAACGCAAACTGAAGAACAAAATGCAAAGATTTTTGTTGTTGTTGGTTGTTGGATTGAGATATGGCAACGATATCGAAGCAAATCCAATAAGAAAAGCTATAGATGATGTAGCAGTGCGATTGAGAGTGAAAGTGCCAGGTGTGTGTGTGTGTGTATGGATAGATGACCAATGAAACCAATGAGGCGTATGCGTAATATATTCTTATATATTTCTATAGGCATATGTAGGTGTGTGGGTGTGTGTGTGTGTGGGTGTAAGCGACTATTAACCAAAGATTTTAAATTATAAACAACAGATTACAATTAGCTAAAAGCTGTTACACACTTAACATGTACTTAATAGAGTAGAGAACTACAAGCTACTCTCGTATATCTATATCTAGAGATAACATTTAGTTAGCCATAAACTGTTTGTTAACAAGGCTGAGCAGCACCCTAACTCGTTCAGTTCCAGTCAATCATTGATAACAAATTTGTCTGTCAAAATTATAGCACACTAATTAACAATCGATGAGGCAATCGTTAAACAAGATATACAATCATATCGTAATTCCATATCAATAGAGCTAAAGGAACTGACAGTTCAGATTATAGACAGCCACTTAAGCTTATTATCAATCTATAAACATATTATTTTAAGTTTTCTCTAAACTGTTCTGACATTGACAAGCCGTTGACAATCAGTTTTAGCTTGTTGTCTCGAGTTAGTCTCATTCACAGATCTGTGTCTGAAATTTAAGAGACACTTGAAGCTCTTGAACTTGAACATGTTGTTAAGCTATTTAACTGGCAGTTAATATTGGCAAATCCTCTTGGCATTGACGTAGCTATAAATCAGAATAGATACATTTGGTTCTAGCAAAAAGCATTTTGTGTTAACTTGACTCACATTTTATAGCTTAGCTGTTGGTTTAACAAGTTCTTAAGTCGCAGTTAATCATTGTCCGGAAAACATTGTCATAGGAAAACAAACAGCTTAAAATGTTGCCAAACAAACAGTTAAAATGTCAGTTGTCGTATCGATTATAATCGATAATACATTGACTGTCAAAAAATACAGAATTTATAAATTCAAGTTTCGTTTTTTCTTAATTGACAAGAACAAACAGAAATAGCTCACACTTCTTAACTCAACCTCCATTCGCAGCTTCTAGCCTAACAAAGTATTTTAGAAATATTCCTGAATAATTTTCAGCTTAAAAAAAATTACAAAAATTTTTCCAAATCTTTTTCAGCTTCAATAACAATTTTAAAATATTTAAAAATTTATCAAATCTTTGCAAGTGAGCAAATTTTGTTATGAAATATCACTTAGCGATAAATTAACTTGAGCATTTTATTGATAAGTGCTGTCAGTTGCAACATCTCACCAAAGATAACGGAGCTGCGAATGAGCTATTTATGAGCCAAATTACGGTTTTTATGTAGTTCGACTAAATGCGGGTCTAAGATAACGAACGAGCTGTAATTGAACTGTTGCTAAACTTGGCTTATCGACTGCATTTTTATCGAGGCGACAAAGCGGCGTTGCCACACAATTGCAACAGCTTTTGTATAGCTGCTAAGTGAGCTGAAACGGGTATATTGGTTTTATGAAACTCTTTCCAAAAAAAAAGATATGTATTTAGGTATTTAGTGTTAAGTTTTAGGTCATTCTATATAGCTTTTGGTAGAGTATTAGGCATTCATTGCCAACCGATTGCAACATTCTTAACTGATTGTAATTTAACCAACATGAACTTTAAGTGGAGCATGAGAAAATTAATTCGAAAATAATAAAAAATTGAAATTAATTTACGAGCAAGTGAATTTATTTGGATATTTTGTAACTTTTGCATTCGCACGCGATGCGAAGGTCTGGGACTCGACTCGGAATTGATTTTGCAGGTGTGCAAGGCCCATAATTCAGTCGAGTGTGGCATGCAACAGCAATAGCAACAGCCACAGCAATAGCAGCGACAGTGCAGCACGAACAAAGCAAAGGCACTTGCATAGCAGAGCGATCTATCTATGACTTGTTTTGGATAGGTTCCCCCACTTGGCTGCCTATATAAGGTCTCAGCTGGGTGGGCGTCAGCAGGAAGTTGGAATGACAGTCTCATAATTGGAATTGGAGTTGGAGTTGGAGTCAGAGTTGGAGTTTCCACTGGAGTTGAAGCTATTTTATGAGCCTTTGTCACCCAGCTAGCCAGCGAGTCAACTTTCAGCCTATTAGTCGGGAGAGTCCAGCGGTTTTTTAGGCGCTAGACAAAGTAGCGACCACAAAAAAAAAATATTTAAATGGGATCGTAAAAACAAATGTTAAACAGCAGTTCGAATAGAGAAAGGCAGAGAGAGAGAGAGAGAGGGAGAGGCACACATAGACACAATCAGACATATCGTAAAACATATTTTGCTTTTAACACTAAAAATTAGTCGAGTGGAAGTTGTAAAAATCTAATTGTTATAGCTAGAAAAATAGATAAATACAAACATATATATATATATATATATATATATATATATATATATATATATATTGTTTTTTGGTGTGAAGAAAATTAATAAATGCCAAAAGGCTGTGCCAGCCAGCGAGGGCAGTTAGAGAAATCAAGCAAACAGAATAAGTCAAATCATAAAAAGTTAATTTATATATACTATATTTATACTTATGTATTGCTAGTTCTCGCAATAAGTCATACCACCCTCGTTTGCACATATTTCTGTACTATTTGTATGCCAGCTAGAGCCTGGCTAGATGCATGATTCAGCCATGATTTGTGGCAGGAAATTACGCAGACGTCGAGTGGGTTAAGTGGAGTCCATTTCAGAGCCATAAAAGAGTTATAAGGCAGAGATATATATGTATATATATACATATATAAGTATATATATACACATAGTCCAAGTGAGATCGTTTTGTTATAAATGTGCCACTTGATAAATACTAATGCGTGTCTAACCTATTTAAAGCGTATGTAACATATATGTATACACATACATATATCCACAAATATATAAAAAAAACGCTTATCTAAACAATATAAAACTGTTGTTGTCGAGTGTGTGCGATGGCTTGAAAAATAAAAAAAAATAACTAAAGCTTCAGCTATATATCACTTGCGACTCTGACATGCTAGAGTGCATAGCTGAAGAAGTAGCTGTGGGTGAACTAAGAGATACCCTGTAATCTGAGCTGAAGTGGAGAGCAATACAAAGCTTACATTAGATATATATTTATATAGAGCGAGAGAGAGAAAGGGGGTGAGTAAGAAAGGGAGAGTAAGTGAGTGAGAGAGAGACAGAAAGGGCGAGAGACAGGAAGAGATAGTTAGTGAATGAGGGAGTAAGAGAGAGAGAGAGAGAGAGAGAGAGAGTGACAAATACAAGTAGTTATTGATAGTAGATAGAGAGCATATATAGAGAAAAAGAGATTCTGCAAAATAGATTAAATAGGGAAGAAAGAGATTCTCCCTTTCTTATTAGAGAGCGAAGTCAGGGTATAGGCAACAAGAGATAGAGACAGCTAGTAAAATACATACATAGAAAGAGAGAGAGAGAGAGAGAGAGACAGAGACAGTTACAAGCAAGTGGACATCCCTTCTAACATCTTCTATGCCGTCGGTCGACTACAGGGTATACGCATAGCTATGTTACTTATACCTCGCTTTATTGCCTCTCGCATACACACACTCAGCTGAACAAAGGCAACGATTGCTGTCTGCTGCGCATGTGCAACTGCAACTTGCAGCTGCATTCGCCACAGCCAAGTGGCAACTGGCAACTGGCAACAGCTGAGCCAACCCGCCAGCCCGCCAGCCAGTCAGCCAGTCAGCCATTCAGCCAGCAAGCGAAACTGAAACCAAAAACGTTGCGAATCCAAAGCTGGCAAATAAATAAACAAACAAAGATTCAAGGGGCAGATCGATGCGGCAGGGGCAGGTGCTGAAGACGAAGTGCAAACGTTGCACATAAATTGCCGCACGTTCAATGAACTTTTTATGCGTCGAGCCCATGGCATAGTGTAGCAAATGGGGTATATTAGTTGTTGAATATGAGCAGATGGATGAAAGTAAGTATAAAGAAAACTTATAGAGATTTCATGAGGGGAGAAATTTGAAGAGCTGGAGAGTAAATAATTGATTTCTATAGTGAATACCGTATGGTGAATATCGTATGCCAAACATAATATAAGAAATATCGTATGCCAAATATAATAAGTAAATATTGTAAATGGAATGACAAATATCGGGAACCAAACATTGTGTCCGAATATCGTAAGCAAAATAATGAGTGCTAAATATCGTATGCCAAACAAAGTATAAGGAAAATATTGTGGATATCGTATACAGAATGGAAAGTGTCGAATATAGATAAGGAATGTCGTTAAACCATATGCTGAATAACGTATCAAGTACGTTTGTTTGAAGGATTTCGTATGGCGAATATCGTATGCTAAATATCGTATAACTTGTATCATATGATTCATATATTAATAATTTTGTATCTTATGAGTCACATATTAATAATTTATGATGGTATGCATAACAAATATTATGTTCACTTATTATGCATAGCAGTTGCAGGGTATTAGCTAGTCGAGCGACTTCTGCTTGCAGCACTTTAGTTCAATCAGACGACGCAGAAATGCAACTGCAGCCGCGCAGAGAACGTGACTGGGTTCTGATGACAGGGCGCTGGGATGCAGACAGAGTTGATGCAGCAGTAACTGCAACAGCAGCAGGTCCATTGTATGCGAGCGGCATAATCAAGATGCCATTTAGAGAGAGAGAGAGAGAGAGAGAGAGAGAGAGAGAGAGAGGAGCAGCTGCTGCCATCTGTGAGTGGGTGTTGCCATTTGAAGAAAGCGAGAGAGAGAGAGAGAGAGGGAGAGGGGAGAGGGCAGAGTGAGAAGAGCTGCTCAACATGTGTGGCAATCAATACAGACGCTGCATTTGTCCCACTGTGCGGGCCAGGCTTAAAGACAGCTTCAATTAGCAGCCAGCAGCCAGCAGCCATCAGCCATCAGGCATCAGCCAGCTGCCTGCTGGGCCGCTTCTAAGAGTCGCGAGATTTCTGAGAAACATTACACGGCATGGCTCAGCTCTGTCCTAAGCAATTTTACATAGCCGCAGATTCTCGGATGCGCGGAGCTCATTTGCAGCTGCTTATGGGGCCAGGCCAGGTTGGCCACGTTCCACGGCTGGCAGAGGTGGCCATAAATCAAGTGGTCCAGTGCGCGCCTGCGCCATAGTTAGCGCTATTAAAGCGTCACGGAAGTCGAAACGTGATCGCATAAACCTCATGCTCGAACATCCAAAGTTTTATGGGAACGCTTAGCTAAACACGCTCATGGGAAACGCGAGAGCAAACCAATGCCAAAACGAGCCGCAATTGGCCATAACAGTCAAGTGGAGCTGCACAACAGCTGAGAAATGCGGCTGAAAATGCAGCCGAACAGCTGACGTTGATTTGGCATCGATGAAGGTGTCAGTCGGAATGAAGAGGTTCAGGTTGAGGTGTGGCAAATGCAAAGCGATGGGAGTGAATGCTATGAATGATGGCTAATGAGAAGTGAATCATTGAGAATGAGAACGAATGGTGGACATATCTCTTATTGGGAATAAAAGGGAATGATGTAGTTGGGCAATTACTAAAATTGCCATCATTCAGAATGATAAGATCAAAAAGTCTATAACTCTGAATGATACTCAATGATATCACAGATGAACGATTCTATTATTTTGAAAGATAGAGAGTGGCTAGTTGAAACTTAGCAAAAGGAATGGGTCCCCCATAGAATGATGTGAGTTATTGTGAATGATAGATACTCCAATGTTGCTCCGTCTAAAGTCTATCATTCAGAATAATTGTGAGTGAAGTCCAAATATAAATTACCTAGAATTATTTCACCGATTAGCAGTTGAATAACCTGGAATAATATTCAGTGGTGAGTAGGAAAAGTCAGTAGAATTAGGAATGCCAGACTTCATACACAATGATCTGCCTGATATAACCCTAAAGTCGAAATCTAACTATGAAAAATCTTGAAACTGACGCAAGCTCTACTTAAAATATGTCATTCGAAAGTCAAATGTGAATAACATTTGTGAATCATAGCGAATGATATAAACGCTGATCCCAGCTTCAGTCAGTGGCGTCATTATATTTCACAAAGATGACCCAAATCTAAGTAAAAAATAAAATACTTTCTAAAAAACTTCTGAAACTTTATTACATACACTCACCGAATGCGCATTTATCTATAAATCACGTTGTAAATCTTAAACATAACCTCAATTCTAAGCGTAATATGTAAAGCATAAGCGAAGAATCTGACGAGATGAAAGCAGGCCGCAGTTTTAATCACATTGAACATAAATCTTGCCACAGATCAAATCATGCAAAATGTTAAGAATGATGAGCTTAACCCTTGCTTCAAATGTTGCTAAAAATATCATGTAGGTTATCAGCAGCATTCTAAGCAGATGGTAAAACGCCGATAGAGATTCGCTGATTTATGACCCAAACACATGAAAGATAGAGACACGCAGTTGAGGCTTGACTGGGGTTTTAGAGACTCTAAACGTTCTGCTGGAGGGTCAAAGTGTCTGTTAAATTTTAACAGCAGCTGGCAAAGCTGCGTGTTCAAGTGGGTAGTTAAACTGCATGTTAAAAGGGCAATTTTACTTTACTTGAATGTATTTACATAAGAGTTAGTTAGTCCAAATTTAACAGCAGGTTAAAGTACTCGTCAAGTAGAGTTTTGATAAAATTCTATTGACAAATTAAAACCGCAGGGTAAACTACATGTTAAAGTTGCTTTGAGTGCAAACTCTGAGAGCGGATCAAGCCATATGTTAGAAGTCATATAATAGCAGCACTAACTACATGTTAAAGCTGCTGCTAAATGCCACAGCTGTCGAGTCGAGAAGCTAGTCACAACTCTACAAATTCTAGTCAAATTGGAAACAAAAGCTAATCACAATCATGCAGTCAACCCTAAGCAGCAGCTTTAACTGCATGTCAAAAGTGCATTCACATGCAGGAATTGTGACTCGCGTCAGTCTGTAGCTTCAAGTGGCTGCACTTCAGCTAATCTCAGTTCAGGTTCAAAGGGTGTTGCATGTCAGGTTTTTCCGCACGCCAAGGAAAAGCACGACGGCGCCTTTCCCAGGCCAGCCCAATTGGCGTATGGATAGATGGGTGAGGGTTATACAAATGACAATAATGTATAGTTGAATGTTGTATAATGGGTCTGTAATTGCATTTGGGCGCTGCTACCAGGCTAAGCAGAGTTACGAGTTACGAGCCAGCACCAGTGGTAGATTACTTTTGGATTTACATGGGGTATACTTGCTGAGCTACTTTAACTACTGCAGACACTAACTCACCTTATCGCTGGCACGCTCCAGGCTGAGCGCCGGCTCGTGCTCCAGGGAGCGCGCCTGATGCACCAATTGGATTTTGCCCTGCGATATTTGTATATAATTCGCTGGCGGCATTATATCGTGCACATCGTCCTTGTCATCCTCGTCGCAGTCCTTCTCGTTTTGCCTGCAACAATCAATTGGAAACATATATAAGTAATCAGAGAGACAGATAGAGAGAGAGAGAGAGAGAGAGAGCTTGATTAATGCCAGCTGACAGCCTTCAATTGCAGCCGCTGTGTCTGCAGCCAAAAACTTGCTCAACCAGCTTCCAGCTACGAGCTTCGAGCTTCGTCGCGTGGGCTGCCGATCGTATCGCATCGTCTGGTTGCATAGCTCAAAAATCTTGCCCAATGCTTATAATCCGGCACCGGCTCCGGCACCCCCAAAGAAGTGTCAAAATTATTGTTACTATTCGCTCAGCCAGCTGGCCGACAAACACACACACACACACACTTGGAGCTCTCTAGCCACTAATCTGGAGCATTGTGTTGCAACAGAAAACATATCTTCAAGTGCCTCAATAGGCACAGCTAAGTACATGAAGCCAATAATGCAATCGCACGAGACTGCACACTGATACGATGCCAGGGGAACATGTGACGAAATCCAACAACAATCAAGCAAACAAATTTCAAGTTGTTAGAGCTCAAGAGCTACTCGAGAAACCTAAAAGTATTGAGGAAATTTATATATAAATAAGCATCATGGTAATATTTATAGCCATGAATTGGATATTTATTCGACAGAATTTGATCTATAATACGGCTGTTTCTGCTATTCCTATGAAAAACTCTCTCCTCAAAAAATATATGAAAAGTTCAGTTGCATCTACTTAGCTCGCTTTCCACTCTACATTCTATATTTTTCACTCTACACATTCTGTTTCCTACTAATCATTCTGCAGTCTCCATTCTCCGCTCTCCAATCGTCGCTTTCCATTCTCTACTCTCCATACTCTAGTCTCTACGCTCCGTTCTCCGCTTTTCACTGCTCACTCTGCACTTTCCACTCTCCATTTTACATTCTACACTTTTTACTACTCTCCCCACTCAACGCTCTGCTTTTCTCTCTCCACTTTCTACTTTCCTTCCACTCCCAACTTTCAACTGGGCTCTACACTCTACTCCCAGCTGTTCATTATCAGCTCTTTATATTCAACTCTCCACTATTCACTATCCTCTCCACTTTCCATTACCGCCACTTCCCTATTTCTCAATCCGTATTCTCCATTCGCCTATCCATCCTACATTCCAAACTTTAACTCTCCAGTTTTCACTTCAAAATCTCCATTCTCCATTGTCTTTCTAGCCTTTTCTCCACTCAGCACTTAACACTCTCCACCTATAACTCTCCACTTTACGCTACACACTGTCCACAGTCTCCACTTGGCCACACTCTTACCAAATTGTGCACCTGGCAGCACTGTGCCTTCTGACCATGTCAGTCTCCCCCCGCCCCCTTGCGAATTGTTTGGCTGTCAGGCGTTGGCACCCTGTGTGGCACAATTGACGTGTTGACCCAATATTTGCAGCTGACAAAGATATCGATTATTGTTGCACCTGTGGAAAAGCAAGGAATATGCGTGCCACAGATATCCTAGGTTTCTATTTAGCATGTCCCCATAGCCACATGTCTGTGAACTGTGTCGGCCCCCAAAGCCAATTGCTAACAACAACTGCCACAGCAACAACAACAACAACAGGCAACAACAATTTGCTCGTTATTTCAAATTGAATTTGCGAGTTAAGTGCAAATAATTTGATAAAATTGGCACTTGGAGGCATTCGAGTGGGCAACAACAGCAACGGCAACTAGAGCTTCAACTCCAACTCCTGCTCCTACTCCAGCTCCGACTCCAGCTTCGACTGTGGCCAAATGCTTTTGACTTGACTGCGTCCATTCAACCACATGCGAGCAATCCAGTTTTCTTTCGTTTTTTTCTTGGTTTTTGGTCAAGTCTAACGCTCAACTCTTTTGCTGCAAACGAGCGTCTAATAAATGAATGCCTCAAAACGTGCAAATGAATGGGAATGAGCGACGTGTCAGATACCCTGTAGAAATTTTAAATCTATTAAAAATGAGACAAAGAAGAGAAAGCAGAATTTCTAAGGGATATACGCTAGAGGTGAGGAGATGATGAAGCTATTAAAGCTACATATTTTAAAGGGAGTAGAAATTAGCTTGGGAATACAATATATGATTGCTTGTTCTCTTAAGGCCGTATAGATAAATAAAACATGTCATAGTGCTAGACAATTTATACAATTGTGGTATGAATATTTGAAATCTCTTCAAGCTTATATATTATTTTTATCGAACTTTAGCTATAAAAAAAAAAATAAATAAATTTTTAAATATGTACGAAGTATATTTAATTTGCTCTAATTGAGAATTATAGATATGGTCTAATCCATTAAATTTTTTTATAGCAGATAAGCTGTACTAGTACTTCGATAACTTATCGATAATATGAACTTAATCGATAAATACAAATAGAAAAAAAAAACAGCTTCATGCTATTTTCTACACTACACATTTAATAATTAAAACCTAACGCCCCCACTGAGTCGTTTCTAATTTGTACAGGGTATTCTAAAACTTACAAGCAAATCGCACAAAATGTTTTCGTTTCGTATCGTGTCCGGCTGTCTGCTGCGAGTCGGACAGCTGAAGCAGCAGCCAAGTGGGCAGCGTCCAAGTGCGTTGCTTGTGTGTCTTTCGCTGCCTCCATATCATGCAACCATCTGTGGCAAGTTTTTCACTTTGCTTTTCAAATGCGGCCCACGTGCCGCTTCGCAGTTCTATGCGCCTTTGATTTATGATCATCAAATAAAGCAATCAAAATCAATTTAACTGTTATCAAACTAGCTGGACTTTGGCTTCGCATATAGCCGTACATACATATATCTACATATATATGTGTATAGGTGACTCATGCTGTCAGCTTCTTCGCCTGCTTCGATCTGTGCTTTGGCCGTTGCAAACTTAATTAGCTGGCACATCAATGCCATTGGCGCAGTCAAAAGGTCAGCTAATGGCATTGCATTGACTTAATTAACAATCAGCTTTGTGGCATGCAACATGCAGCTACCCCACCCATGGCTCTTCCGCCGCCTCTACCGCTTACTCAATTGTCTGTGCAATAGGTGCAAAGTGCAGACGTTGCATTTCAGGAATCTAATTTAGCGCCCGTGACTCATTGCCCATACTCGTTCCCATTCCCATTCCCATTCCCAATCCCCGGCCCATTCTCATTTTCATTTCCATTTCGAATTCGCTTCTGCCTTTTAAGGTGCAGTCGCAATGCCTGCGCCAGGGTATTTGCATTTCCATCAACTTTTGCTTCCGTTGGCGCATAAGTCATAAAAAAGATTTAGCATATATGTATATGTATATATCTAGTCTTTAGTCGGAGCAGTTTCTATATAGAATGCCAAGAGTTTATTACGATATTTATATTTTCCGATTAATGACGAACTATCCCATCTCCAATTCGTACATCAATTGAATATTTAAGTTCTCTGAGTTTTTATATATTTACTATATATGGGCTGACTATTCTTTTGCATAGTAATCAATCATATAGCTTAGCTTGAGCTTCTTTATTTATAGTTATGGGAACTCTTCCTAAATATTTACGATTTCGTGAGGTAGTTGGATAAATTGCTTGGCCTAAAGAGTCACCTATAGTTGTTATACTTATTTTCCTTCCTTTCCTATAGCTGGCTGCCCTTCCCTAACTAATTTATATGCCTTAAATAGTGGCAGACAGATAAATTAATATATTTATATATAGTCATGATGTTCATTGAATGTTGCACATTCGTCAAGCGCGCAATCATTTAAAGCTGAGGAAACAGCAGGAGCTGGAGCGGCATTCAGTCCATCCATCCATCCACTTGTCCATTCGTCCATTCGTCTGCTTGTCTTTCCGTCCGGTCATTCGGTTAATCCGGCTCGACTGTGCGGCACATTCGTTTACTGATTATGCGTTTTATGTGACGACCATAAATTTCCGCTGTCGCAGTTGCCACGCCCCCTTTCAAAGAACCGACCCCTCCCGTCATTTGCTTCTGTTTGCTGCTGTCGCTGCTGCTCCTCCTGCTGACCCACCTCCTGCCTCTACTGCTGCTGCTGCTGTCCGGCGCTTATCAATGGCCAGTTGCAGTTGGCATAAAAATAAATATTGCACAGAGTGGACAAAGAGGGAGCAGCGAGAGAGAGATAGAGAGGGTAGACGACTACGTAATACTCGTTCGGGATATGATAGAGATACCATATGTAATGATTGCAAATACCATATAATATATAACTCAAGTATAGATCGTACGATTTTTGAGAGGTTTCGCATTCATGACTCTTTCAGTGTGACTCTAGCTCTTTAATTTTTACCATACCATAAATTGCATACTCCTAAAGAAAACCGAAAACATTCGAAATATCTGCAAAGCCAATATACTCGCGTCTTTCATGTGAGCCGGCATTCAAAGTAGCTGGAAACACTTTTGCCTTGCATTTAATGGCAATTTCTTTAGCTTTTTTTTAATGCAAGCTACAAATAAGCCCCATAAGGCGCTTACTACTTGAAGCTGACCGATGCCGCAGCCGAATTCGGCCTGTGACTGACCCGAAAGACCCTTAAAGGCAATTTATGGAAAGTAATTACAGCCTGCGTGGGTGTGGATGAGTGTGTGTGTGTGTGTGTGTGTGTGGAGCTCCAGCTGTAATTGGGGGAGCTACAGAGATAAGCAACATTTTATACATATAATTATAGCTAGAGTGGAATATAATAAATACTAAGCAGCTTTTAACTGCTTATGAGCGAGTGATGGACCTTGATGGAATTGAAGCTTAAGATTAACTAGATGGGCCAAGGAAATGGATGGATAATAAAATACGAATGAGCAATGAGTGCAGTACTAAGTGAGATAAGCGGATCTTAAGAGTTTTGGCTTGACTCCTGTGGAATTATACACAGAATTCTTTCGTTATTATAATGATATAACATTTCATATAATTGTAATTCCTCGAATACCACAAGAGCTAGAGATTTCACAGTTACTATGTAGTTTCCTGATATAAGTGCACATAATTTGAACATTTCGAATTTTGGATAGCTGCTCT